CTCTAGAACTTCACAGTATAATTAACATCCTGATATTCTTGTTTGACTTTTGTTTTAGCGCTTGCATTTTTTCAAGAAATAGCTCAAGCCAAGCTATAAATCTTAAGGAGGGAATATTCTACTGTAAGAAGTAAACTCAGGCAAGATTACTTTCTGCTTTTTACCATAATATTTGCATCAAAAAATGAAGAACTATAAAGTCTTACACTTACGAATGTACACAAATACCACTTTCTTGGAAGTCCTGAGAAATAGATTCAAAGACATTTCTATTTTACCTTTCTGTCTGATTCTCACTGAAACATGCATAGCACACACACGCCCCCTCCCAGTTCAGATATGTGATCAGTTTATACACTAAGAGAAAAAATTATAATAACTGCTCATATCCCTAAAATCCCTGAGTGTATTGACCCCTATATGATCAATATTCACGCAAAAAAACTGTTATAAAAGCAGAGGTTGTAATGAAATTCACCAGTCATGGAGACTTGCAGTTACTCCTCTAACACAGTGGTTCCTTTCCGTATTCTTCCTGGCATCACTGCCTTATAATTTAAGACACCATGAAAAGAAATAAGGAAACCTTAAATATCAAAGAAACACAACCCAAGGGTTTGGATATGCTTTTGTGTCCTCGTAGGTTTCGTGTATTAAAACTGCACAGTATTAAGGTATTGAGATCTACAAGAGGGTAGAAACAGGGACCTTAGGAGGTGATTAGGATTAGATGAAATCATTAAGATACAAGTCCATGACTGAAATTTGCTTTATAAGAGGGGCAGAGGTCACGTATTCGGCCCCACACACATACATGCACACACATTGTTCCTTTCTCTTGTTATATGATACCTCAGCCTCTTCCTTAGGACTCTGCCTGTAAGAAGGACATCACACAGTTCCTGAATTTTACACCAGAGAAGTAAGCCAAAATGAATCTGTCTTTTATTACACAGGGACATGACCAGCACCAACTTTCTGATGTAGAAAATTAACTCTAGGATGGGGCAGGTCTCACACCTTGTCTCTGAGTGAGCAGCAGCTCCTCGGACATCACCCCTCCTTCGTAAAAACACCCACCCATTCTCAGTACTCACCATACACAGGCACTGTAAGAAGTACAGAAGAAAGAAACATCAAGCTGAATCACAAAGAGCCTATTTGAGGAAATTTCCAGTCTAGAAAGCTAAAACATGGACATGTCTATATTACAGACACATGCCTTTCTATCAAATAAGAAAAAAACCTCAGATTCTTCCAAAGATATATTTTCAACAGTAAAACCAAATTAATAGTCTTGGAGAAGCTTTGTCTCTTACAGTCTCATTTTTTTCCCTATGAAACATGTTTTTAGAGAGCACCTCTCCATGATATTAAATGAGACACTATACACAAAATGTTTAGTACTGCGCCTGACCAAAAGCATTCTGAGAAATGTGGTCTTTTTGGAAACAAACAACCACCAGCTTCTTGAAACCTGAGGAGAACATAACCAAGAAAGACAAGAAACCAGCAGGGTAAAAATATCTCAGATTTCCTACAAGACCAGCTACTAAATCAATGTGTCTGCTTGGGCTAAAAAGCCTCCTTTATACTGAAGCCTGGCCTCTCTGCAGAGCCATGACTCCAAATCCACAGGTGAACCTGCAGCATCTCACTAATAAACTCCCAAGCAAGTACCATCATACATAAGTTTGAAGACCAACATGAGAGACTAAATGTTTTATAAGTATTACAATATTTGTTTTAGATATGGTTCAGCTGAGGCCTCTGTGCTGCTCACTTGTCTACTGGTTCTGCTTTCTGTGGTTTCAGTCACCTGTGATCAACAAGGATGAGGACAAGATTTTTGAGAGATAGATCATATTAACATTTTACTCAGTATAGTTTTGCTTTATTTCATCATTAGTTATTCACCTTTAAACTGCACCTACATACAGAAAAAAATCAGAATACTGACTTAATGGTTTCACTTACAATTTTATGACTTTACATCAGTGTGAAAGCAATACACATGCCTTAGAAATAGAATTTCAAAATTTGATCGTTTTCCTAGACTGCCAATGTGCAACATGATACTCTCTGGCAATGCTGGGCAGCAGCAGTGGGCAGCTCCCTGTCAAGTACACAGGGGCCAAATTTACAAGGACAAAAGCGAGAGCACAATGATACAGCGGGTTGCGCTGTGAAGCTGTGTGTCCCACAAGTTAGCTGTATTACATGCATTTTCAACTTAATGATATGGTTAACTCACAATGGCTCCACCAGGATATACCCCCATTACAAGCTGAGAAACATCTTTATACAGTGTTTAGTATTATCTGTGGCTCTGGCACTCAGTAAGGATTTTGGAAAGTATTCACAGAGAATAGGCAGGGTCTGTTACAGAGATAACTATTCTTTAAAACTTTAAGACAACAGCCTAAAATTCTGTGCAGAAATCTTTCTCCTGGAGATCCTTTTGACTTAGCAGCATGCCTTGCAATGGGGCTCCTGGACACCATACAAAAGCAGAGCACAGCCCAGAGGTCCCTCACCTCTCACTCAGGTCTCTGACTCCTCCACGTGTCTGGTCAGCCCTTACCTAACTTACCCAAAATGATGTTGTCATTGTACTACTTTCAAATGCATGTAGTCAAGGATAAGCATGCAATAACTTTATCTGACAGACATACTTCAAGTCTAAGGTTTTTAGTGACCTAGTAAATGTTGGTTTCAAAGCAATTAAAACATAAAAACTTCAAGAGTTTGAAGAAATAAATCCACTAACAGTTCCCACTATAATCATTTAATCTTCATCAGAGGGGAAAAGGCAAGAAAATATTGCATTTTGTTTGAACTTGGAGGTAGGGGAGTGGCATAACTAAACCCAGAGCCTTATGTGCATGCCAGGTGTGCATGCTACCACTAAGCTACATCCCCAGCCCTTGCTAAAATTTTCATGTGGTCAATTTAAAACATATACACTGCGGGACTCTACAGCGTATCATTTTAAAATGCATTCATCCAAAAAGAGAAAAAAACATTTGTAGAAAAACTTCATTAAAATCACTAGTAAGTTTTTCATTTGTTACTGTTCATATCTTACCAATTATATTATAAGGAGTGTGATTAAGAAGAACTACTCCACTTACTAATAGATCCAAGCTGGCTGATCAAATGGAATGCCAGCTGGTCAATCAACTGCAATTTGAAAGGCTGCTTTAAAAATATCTTCATGGAAGTATCTAAAATCTCATCAAAATGTAAGGCCTTCTAATGAATTTCTGCTACCTATCAGGAAATAAACTTTCAAGATACACCTTAGATTACCTACTTGTAATACAATTACCAAAACCCTCCAAGATTCCTAAGTTATTCCCCTGCCAAAAGAGACTCTGATTCTACTCTACCAATAAGCTGCTATAAACTAGGCTTGTACCTAAGAGCAATCTCTACCAGCCCTTAAAATAAAGCTTTCAATCTACTTCAGTTTGCAGTGAAATACATAAAATAAGTATTTTCTTACCTGCACAAAGTAAACAGCTGTAGTACGGAAAAGTAAGCAGGTTGCTGGCTAATCACCAACCTTGAGCCTGCCTGCTCTTCCATGAAATGGGGACTGTACATTCAGTTCCCTCCCTCAAGCTTTACTGTCAGTGTCAAATGAGAAAACATACGTAAAAGCATAGTGTAAACCCTAAAGCAGAATGATTATTACAGAGAGACACACATCCTTTCTCAAAATGATATTTAAAGACAAAAGTAAAGATGTTACAAAACAGTGAAACTATCTCTTCATTTGAGCTGCTGTTTCAGATGCGGCAGACATTAAGCTGCAGCCAAGATTCTCTGAGACGTTCCCCTACAAGACATAAACTAATGGGCACCAGATTGTATCTGTGATTCTTGCTCATACTTGCATATGCAGATTATCTTACAAGAGCCTCAACAAGTCAAGAGTAGCAAACACGAAGTAAACACAAAGGGAAAAATTTCAGAGAAAACTGCATAATGTTTTAGGATGAATCATATCCAGGTTTGCATGGGGAGGATGAGATAGAAAAGAATGGTGCAGATTCTTTCTGCACACAGCAAGCGCAGCCATTCTGGCTTTCAAAGCAGCAAGGTGTTTAAGTGACTCTGATCAACACAGCATGCTGATGATCCCATTGTACACTTGATTTGGCTCCGGACTGCCCAATCCAATTTGCTAACACAGTAGACTCCAGAAGAATCACCTATTAAAAACAATCCGAATACAGACTCTCAATGTGCATAAGGCCTTTTGTGATCTCCATTGGAGCTTACAGTATCTAACAGCTGCAACTGTGACTGTTCTAGCTAATTGCTCTCAGCAACAAAAATAAACAATCACTCCAGGAAGAAGACTATACCCGCCAAATATTAATGAATTTTTTTAACAGTCAAAGATTTCGAATTTTTGTTTAAAAGGCTTGCAACTGGTAAAAGTTTCAAAGAACAGGAATAAGGCTGAGGAGGCTCAAAAGTAAGACTTTATTTTTTATTTAATATACCCCTCCACCCACCTCAACCCACCCTTCCAAAAGCAAAAAAGAATGTGACTCGCAAGTATAGAAGAATTTAAGCAATCTGAGATATTTTAACTCATGTATAACTTTTTAACATATGGGGGAAAAGAGTCGCACTGATTGGAGCTATTTTTAAAGTGCAGCTCTATCATAAAAATAGACATTTACTCATAAGGATGCTTGAATAGAGAACAAGCCCAATCTACGTCTCATTGTTAAGAAAGGGGGAGGAAAAAAAAGGCTGCCGTGCTTTCTGGAGAGCCATTTATGGTCTGCTTGTGATGTCATGGAAGGATCCAGGTGCCCTCTAACAAGCATCTTTCATTCTCGTCAATCCTTTTAAAAGTGCTCTTCTACCATTAGCTACTTCTCTGAGCACATGCAATAAGCAGCCGGTATTTACCCAGAGCCTTGCAAGAGAGCAGATCACTGCAATCAGAAACCCAAGGAGGAGGAAAAATTACTCACCCACAACTGGATTCAGCATTGTCCTCTCCTTCTTATCATCCTCACCAGCAAGGAAGTATTCTCTTTGCTAAGGAAAGAAAGAAGCAGATAACTTATTGGTGCTTTAGGACATCTACTTCTCCTCTGTCCAAAAAATGAAAAAGTAACTTTGTACATACTTCTGTCCCATCCAGGATTCTGCTGCACAGATGAAGCTTCCAATCAAACTGCCTACTCAAGTAATCATTTAGGCATCACCAGCCCAAGGAGGTTTAGAGAGATCACCCCCAGATTCCAGACTTCTCATTTTTCTTCAGCCTTTAAATATGCCCAAGAGGAACAAAGCTGTATTAGGAAATCATGCAGAAGTCCTGACTTTTATTACCTCCTGATACAATCTGAGCAATAATCAATACAATAAGAAACTAAACAGCTTTCACTTCATATGCCTTAAGTAAAATTCGGAATGTATTGCTTTCTGACTGAAAAATTTTTTCCATACTCTAAAGAACAAAATCAAAAATTAAGAAAATACCTTTACCAAGGGAATAAAAGACCAAAAAAGTGAATCTGAATGTTTACAAAGAGTATGAATATAGCTGAGTACAGTGCTTGCCTAGATTGCACAAGGCCCTAGGTTCAGTCCCCAGCACTGCAAAAAAAATATGGAAGAGACTACACATATAGTCACAACTTTAAAAAGTGACAAAGGCAAAACATACTCAAAAATCTCTTTAAAAGATTGACTTCTATTTTCTGTAATTTCTAAATTTTCTAGTGACTATATTATTGATTGTTATTCACAAAATATGCATGATATTAAGCGCACCACAATTAAAAAACTATGTGCATTTACCTAAGTTCAACTTCTAGATGCCATTTATGTAGTTCCTCCAGGATTTCAGAAGTATGACTAAGTGCAAGAAAGTTTATAAACATTAATTTAACTTATGTTTTAATACTACAGTAGTAATGAAGGGTAGGATTCCAAGAGTGAAGAGAACTAGGTTCAAATGCCAGGTCCCATGTGACCAAAAAAGAATGACTAAGGATCTCAACCTTCCTGGGCCTGGCTCGTTCATCTGTAAAAGTGTCAAACAAGATCTGTGCCTATCTTCCATCTCAAGAAAAAAGTGAAAAACAGCCAAAAATTAAGTGTTCAGTTTAAAAAACAGCAGTTATTGGCAAAAAGGAAGTACTTGATACATAGTTAATGAAAGAATGGAAATTTTAAAATAAAGCAAACAATAATGCAGAACAGAACTACTCAGGATGTGTTTCCCATCTATGGACAGCTGCTGGGCTGCAGCACGGTTCTAAGTGTGTCAATGTCTTCTGTCAAGATAGGAGACCATCATTTGAAAACAATTGAGGGGCATAAAAAGTTATCCTTTCTATAGCTGGGCACGGTGATGCACACCTATAATCACTCAGGAGGTGAAAGCAGGAGAATCACTGCAAGTTCATAGCCAGCCTGGGCTATAAAGTGAGCTCAAAGTCATTCTGAACTGAATAGTGGAACTCTTGTCTCAAGACAAAATCAGTTACCCTTTCTAATAACCAAAGAATTTTTTTGTATGAACATTGGTTATTATCTCTTGTAATTATTACTATCTTTAAGTTTGCAAAACCTATTTTGAGACTGGAGAAGATCTAAAACATACATAAAAAAGTGTGAGGTGCTAGCTTCCAACATTATGTTCCGTGGTATTTTACTTCAAAATCCAAGAAATAAAGGTCTGTATCTGTCAGATGCCCAAGCACCTGCATTTATGGATCATGACCTTCCTTTGGCATTCACATAGCTAGTTGCTTTATCCTTACCACCCTGGCAATGAAGAGCCTGCAACCCAGGTACCAGAGCTCCCTTGTTCACTGTGCTTCCCTCCAAAAGCTGAGTCACCTTGAAGGTGGCTGTTCCTCTCATCACACCTGCACGGAGTTGACAGATGGGCTGGGTGCTCCTGAAACACACAGGTAACTCTACAGAAATGACTGTCGGGAGGAATATACCAGGCAAATCAGCGTTAGAGATAACACATAGCCACCAAAGTCCAAGGACCTACAAAATAAATAAACCAGCAAGTTCTTTCCACTAAAGAGCGATTTAAAAGGTCTTCATTTTATGTGGCTTTTTATTGAAAGGAACAGTATGCCTATTACACAAACTTCCAAATAACAAAAAGACTTTTTAAAAAATCCTGTCTAATCAAAATCTTATATTGGGGATGTATCAGGATTTTATAATTTTCCCCTCAATTTTGATGAAAGTGATGGTTACATGATATGAGTAAGAAAAAATGTAAAGAATAAAGTATCTCCAAGAGAAGAATGAACCAGGTCATATGGCACTGGAGACAGTATCATGCTAAGAGGGGATCACTTCATGAACTTAATTCATTCAGTTTGGAAGCTCTATAGCAGTAGTGGCGAACCCATGGCTAGTGTGCCACAGCTATCTATTTGTTGTCACTGAAAGTTCTAAAAGTTTCACCATCACTGATAGGTAGTCTGTGAAACAGACTTGTCCAATATCGCACTGTCAGAAAGATTCGGCTTTGGTAATTTTTCATGAACTGTGCCACATGGTCCAAATAAAGGCCTCTTTTTAAAAGAAGGCAATGTCCTTTCTACTGAGCTCTAGCTAACTCCCCAAATCATACTTAATCTCTACCACACCAAATACTTTCAGCATTACTGTAGAGATGGGGAAGAGAACAAGGACAAAGCCCCAATGTTTACTGTATTTCATTATGAACTAAATGTCTAAGTTTTAATTAATATTCATAAAAATGTTTATGAACCATATAGATCTATATTGAATACAACTTAAAAATTTATAAATTGCCCCCAAATCAGCTTACCTGTCTTTGATCACTGGAATTTGTTCTTGTATTCTCGGCCCCCAATTCCTCTTAAATTCCACTTACTCTTAATAACCAGCTCAATTACCACCACTTCTGTGGCTTACTATTCTCACCTCACCAACTCCCAACACCTTAAGGCATGCATGCAGTCAGATTTTTTCTTTCTTTGAAAAACAAATGTTTTCTGTCCACAACATCTATCTTCCTTCTACTTCAATTATTCAGAGATGTAATCTTCTGTATTGCAAATGATAAGGTCCATGACAGCAGAGATGTCTTCTATACATTTATATTCTTAAAATACTTTCTTGCATTTATGCTAGAAGCTTGCTACACTTACTTGAAAAAGTAACATCCATGCGTGTTTCTGAGGGTGTCAGTTGAATCCTAACCTACATCTTTAGCTACTCAAGCCAAAGGTAACCTTAATACTGAATTTGAGGCTGCAGTGGCTCTTAATTCAAAGTTGAGTAAAGAGTCAAGCATTCTTTTAATAGTTGGGTATTTTACCAATTACCTTTCTGAACTGCCAGTCCTCATATGACACAGTTAGATACAGCAAAAAGACCCAGCCAAATGCCTTAGCTGACTCAACTATTCAGATACAGTGGCTTATTGCATGTTAATAACTTTTGTTTCAGAAAAAAATTGGACAACTTAACATGCATGAGAGTACCTGGGAATTTAAAAAATGGTAATGACAGAGTAAGAATTTCACAATCTAGCACCTAATCCAAGAAAAGAAGAATCTGTAAGAGCAAAAATGTTTATGCCTGTGAGATGTAACTGGAGACAGCACAACTACAGTGATCAGCTTGCTGGCTGCTTCTGAGCTGTCATAGCACTGATATCACTGTAGCCATGGCTTGGTGGTTTATCTGTCCTTTCCTTTCTAACTGACGATTTCCAGAAAGCTCTGAGTGATATCTACTCATTTTTATAGCCTTAGACACAGAGAAGCAAAGTGATAACCAATAACCCTTTGCTGACCAAACAAAAAATTCCTAATTTCTATAAAGCAGAATTATGGGAAGGTTAATTTCAGTAAAACCCATCCTAGTTGACAGGCTGCCTCTGCTACAGATGCTTATTCCTCCCAATGTAAAGGAAAATGAACCTATTTCCTAGGATTTTCAGAGGAACAATGCAAAGCACAATATGGCCATTCTCTGCAATGACAGAGCATAAATGCTTATTATTCAAATAACTGCTTTGATTTTATCAGTATTTCTCTTTTCTCCCACTGTTCAAAGTTCCAGTATGGAAATAAAGACATACAGGAGTAAACTACTACATTTTTTTCCCTTCTACGCAATAAAAGGTATATGCACAGTGCCCTAGAGTCACATTAAAAGATCCAAATATTAAAATTTCAACATACTTATTGTTAAAATACACATACTTTGTTTTTCAGGTAACTCTGTGAGCAGTAGTTTCAAATTTCCACCATAATTTATTGTTCATGCTTTTTAAAATGGTAGAAATACTGCAATCTATTCTTTTGAAAAGGAAATATTAAATTGTTAGCAATTTTTCTTTGAATCAGATTAAACTAATGTAAAATAATGTCAATTAAGAGCTTAATCCTGGCATGGTGACTCCCACCTATAATCCCGGCACTCAGAAGGCTGAGGCAGAGGACCACTGGGAGTTCAAAACCAGCCTGGGCTACGAAGTGAGCTCAAGGTCAGCCTCAACTGCATAGTGAGACCCTGTTTGTTTGTTTTTTAATACCAAATGATTTGCAATCATGCATGACACCATTTTCCAAAGGGGAAAAGCATAATTTCTACTCCAGTATACAGTGGTACCTTGGGGTTCACCTACTTCTTAATTCTGGTTGCAAACTGAATTAGATGAGAACCAAATCAAATTCAACAGGTTAGGTTCACTGTTGACCTTATGGAGAAATCTGATTTGGATCTTGTCCAGTTTGGTTTGCAACCAAACTCACGGAGAGAATTGAGTACTATGTGAACTGAGACACTACAACTGTACCAGTAGTAGTTTAACAAACCTCATTTATCAAAAATTTTACTACTACATGCTGAACTATAAAAGAACTACTGACACGTGAAACCACTCAAAATACTGATAAAGCAGGGAAGAGAAGAGAGGGATATGCCAACATCACAAAATTAGAGTATTAAATTCTAATTGGAAGTTTGAGATTAGCTGTATGCTGAAAGAACAGAAAGTGCTGGACTGGGGATTTAGTTCAGCAGTGTAAGTGCCTGCCTAGCAAGTGCAGGGTTGTGAGTTTGATCCCCGATATCCAAAAACAAAACAGAGAAAGTGTCTTGTCACTCAGAAACATTCCTGACTACCAAATTATGAATCTAGGACAAATTATTTTTAGAATGGCTTTTACCAGAAAAGTAGACAAATATAATCAAATTAAAAGAAACCACTTAGTATACTTTTAAAGTACATATTATATTCAACT